GGGGGCGGAGGCAGGGGGCGGAGGCAGGGGGCGGAGGCAGGGGGCGGAGGCAGGGGGCGGAGGAGGGCGGCCCTTGCGCCTGGGGTTGCCTCGCGTAGTTTGGTGCTGCGCGAGGTGACCGAGGATGTGACTACCTTGGCCGGCGGTGGCCCGCGGACGATGCTCGCCCTCCTGGGCGCGACGACCCTGGTGCTGGTCGCTGCGGTGCGGTGGATGTTGCCCGCAGCCGCAGGTGAGAGACGAGGGGGCCCGGCGCAGGCCCGGGACAGGGCGAGAGGCTGGGCTGTGGGGGCGTTGGAAGCCTTGGCCCTGGGAGGCGGGTGGAAGGGGCTGGCGCGTTGTCCCGGAGACCTCTGCTCGTCCGGGGTCACAGCGCTCAGATCGAAAATCGGGAGGAAGTGGTGTTCCAAGGATCCTTGCACGCCGCTTGCTTGGGGGCCCGCGTACCCGTCCCCGAGCGGGGGACGCCCTCCCCGCGGGCTGTGTGGGCTTCCACCACCGCGGCGCTGGGTGAGTGAGAGCCTTCCGGTCGACTTTCTCTTCGAAAAAGCGGGGAGCCGGGCTGGACCCTTAAGTAATAAACAGGGCTTTAGCGGCGAATTGTGTTGCTGTTCCTGAAACATTGTCTCAGTTTAGGGAAACAGTTATTCAGCCTCAAGTGGGAGGGGGGGATAAGGGTTCCAAGAATTTCGCTGCCTTCGGGATTCGGACAGTCTAATAAAAAGTAATAATAAATGAAAAATACGCAACCAAAATAGAGAGGCCGGGACCACCAGGCTAGTTTGCTGCCTTTATTAATACTTAACTGGGACGCATCAGAAGAATGGCAACTATTATAAGGTTGACTTCGTAGTGAGGAAGGGTACCCAAAGAGAAAGAGCGGGACTAGCACCGAAGGGCAGGAATCCAAGGGGTTAGTGAATCCAAGCCTAGTAGGTTCAAAATCCTTAAACTGTTTGCTTAGAAAACCGTACCCCCATATGGTAAATGGTATCCTATTTCTCAAACTCTTCCATGAATATAGTATATATAGAATATGGGTACTATGGTCCTGGTATGCCTCGTGGTCATTTCTTTGAAGTCTTTTGTTTTTGAAATTTTTGTATTCAGCTCATTGTGCTGTGATGTAAAAAGAACTTCCCCAGAATTTTCGTATAAAAGTAGCATTCCAAGAGGATGTACATTAAGATCCTTACTTTAATCTAAATTACGGGAGAGCTGCTAAAATAAACTTTATACGCAGCTAGCATTTATTGACTCTTAACTATGTGCCAGGCAATTCTCTAGGTGTTTTAAAGGTATAAACTCATTTAGGTTTCAGTACAAAGCTACACACTATTACCCTCTTTTTACAGAAGAGCAAACTGAGACACTGAGTAGCTTGCCTCATGCCCTGCAGCTCGCCAGTGGCTGAATGGGAAATTAAACCCTGGGAATCAGCGGCAGACCCCTGGGCTTAAGAGTAGTCTGTTTTCCTAAGGGTTAAACAATTTAAATTCTCAATTATCCACTGATATTTGTTAAGTCCTAGTTACCTTTCAATTAACTAATGTACTTTTTTCCTCAAAGGAACGGTAAAATGTTCAAAACTAAATTAAATGTTAACCCAAACTAGAGATCCTAATGTTGCTCTCTTTCCAAGTCATAAAAATATTCATACTTTTTAAACCTAGTAAATGTAGTCCTGGGACCCTAGCCTAAGAAAATTACCCAAAATGTGAGAGGAAATTTATGTTTATATGGACGTATGTGTTTGGATTTATGTCAGACTTAAAAAGGTAGTAAATTGTTTCTGATCATCCATTAGGAATGTGAAAGGTTGGAAGCAACCAATTGTTGCTTACCGTGTAAGTAGAAGTATGGGATTAAGTGCCCATTTATAGATCTTACATGCTACAAAAGTGAAATAGACTGTTTTCAAAAGGATATTGCTAATACGAGTAGAGCGAAATCTGTGAAATTGAAAATGCTGTGTAATAACTATTTCCACGTCCCTGACCATTTATCAATCAGTTATTTCTTGGTCTCCCAAATGCCAAGATGCCCCTAACTGCAGGGTCTCTTTCCTTTAGCAGAAGGACTGCATCCCAGAGGAAATCTCTGGCTCTACCCCCATCAAATTTCTTCTCCCTGTCTCAAGATCCAGAGTTAGTGGAATTAGACTAGTCTAGACCAGAGACTACAAATGCTATCAGATCTTTTGTTGATTTCCTGTCAACTCAGTCACTCCCCTTTGGCTGCATACAATCTATAAAATCACAACAAATGGGAGAGAATTACGTTTAGAGGAGTGGAATAAGGAAAGTATTCTCCTTTGTGATGAAGTGTCAGAGAAAATAAGTGTAAAAAAGAAGATTGAGGGAGAGGAGACTCAAGGAGGAGCTCCCCAAATTAAAAAAAAAATTTTTTTTTTTCGGAAGATGTTTTCTCAGCTCTTCCCCTTCGGACTCCATACCATAATATCTCTAGCTGGAAAATAGAGGAGGCAGTCCCAATAAAGAAAGTTCTACATAAGGACTCCTATGGTGGAAAGTCTGCCAGGAGGTAACACGCTTGCCCTGAGGCAGAAGTAAAGGCTAGAAATATTACAGGAACAGTAGATAAATTTAAAAGCCGGCCTTTTAAAAAATTATAGCTTATCAGAGTGAAAGATCAGCCCTTTGTGCTGTTGAAGAAACTCCTGTGAACCCAGCACTGTACTGAGTCCTCTGAAAAATGCAAATTGAGTATGCAACTGTATAGACCCTGCCTTTAAGGAACTTGTCATCTGATTGGGGATTTGTGTTTAATGCAAAGAAGCAATTGGTTTTCTTTTGAAACATCTTCATTCAGCAAGTTTTAAGGTCCTACCAGATGTCAGCTACTGTGCTGAGTACGTCTGCTTTAGTGTGAAACTGAGCAGTAGGGATTGATGCTCCAGCACATAATATAAGAGCAGGGTTAGCATGGGCTGCAGTATTTTATTTATTTATTTATTTATTTATTTATTTGTTTATTTATTTGAGAGAGAGAATGAGATAGAGAGAGCATGAGAGGGGGGAGGGTCAGAGGGAGAAGCAGACTCCCTGCTCAGCAGGGAGCCCGATGCGGGACTCGATCCTGGGACTTCAGGATCATGGCCTGAGCCGAAGGCGGTCACTTAACCAACTGAGCCACCCAGGCACGCATCATGGGCTGCAGTATTAAAGGAAGGTTTTCTGTAAGGGGTCAAACTTGAGCTGAGTCTTGGACTATTTGGGTAATCAGAGAGGAAGAAAAACGCAGGTTGGAGGGACCAAAAGGGAAAAATAAGAAGAGAGGACATCCAACTCAGGGAAGATTCCTCCTAGAAGTGTAAGAAATAATAGCTCTCTAGACAGAAGTCCTTAAAAATAAACAGATGGGTTCAGGCTTGATATGAACACCTTTCCGAGTTCTTGTAGGGCTTGGTTGACGTGATAAACATTCATACCTCTGTCTCTTGATTTTTGTCATGTGACTATTTGGTTTCTGTGACTAAGCTGTTAACTTTGAAATCACAGCTGTTGCATTCTCTGTCAGAATAGATGAAGAGTAAATATGGGATGTGAAACCAAACTGGGGCCATTAAACAGTTGAACCTTGTATCCTTTACATGTCTTCTAACATCACAGAAAATTTTTATACAGAGACTATTTTTTCTTTTTTTTTTTTTTAACCAGCCATCATGTGAGCTTTCAGCAAGTTGTAATCTTTTTGCTGGTGGATGGTCTTTTTTTTTTCTCCTCATCATGATGAGTGTAGTCTTTAATCCCCTTCACCCATGTCCCCCATCTCCCCCAACCCCCTCGCCTCTGGTTTGACCGACAGTTAAGAGTCTGTTTCTTGGTTTGCCTTTCTCTCTCTTTTTTTTTTCCTTTGCTCATTTGTTTTGTTTCTTAAATTCTACATATAAGTAAGATCATATGGCATTTGTCTTTCTCTGACTGACTTATTTCACTTAGCATAATACTCTCTAGATCCATCCATGTTGTTGCAAATGGCAAGATTTCATTCTTTTTTATGGCTGAATAATATTCCATTGTGTGTGTGTGCATGTGTGTGTGTGTGTGTGTGTGTATCACATCTTCTTTATCCATTCATCAGTCAGTGGACACTTGGGCTGCTTCCATACCTTGGCTATTGTAAATAATGCTGCTATAAACATAGGGTGTGCATGTATCCCTTTGAATTAGTATTTTTGTATTTTTGGGGTAAAGAGACTTTCAATTAAAAGATCAATGCTGATTTTTCCTTATTTTTTCCGGCTTTACTGAGATATATATGACATATAAGGCTTACTTTTTATGGATTAAAAAACCTCGACCTTTTTCTAGCTCTCTCAAATGCAGAGATTAAATAAATAATTAGCAGCCTCCCTGTGCTGAGAGCAACGATTAGGTTTTTTTAGATTTTGTATATACTTTGTTATATTTGAATGTATTCATTCTTTAATCAGTGACATGAAAGGAAGAATAACATTTTTAAGACTATCTACAGTGTATATGTAACTGTCTTCTTTCTTGTTGCCTTGATTTCTAGGAGAAACAAATCTAAAATCTCCTCAAAATGTAGAGGTGTACATCATTGATGATACCTTTATCCTGCAGTGGAACAGAAGTGAACCGTCTGTCAAGAATGTGACTTTTTCAGCAGATTATCAAACGTACGCAACTCTATTGATTGATTTACAAGAATCGTGTGAATAATTTTGAAAATTGTAACCCCATCATTTATATTTCAGATTTGAGAACCAATTGGTTTTTCCATCTTTTAGAGAAATTTTATGTCTACGTAATATTTATAACTTCATTTCTACAAATAGAGACTTAGTCCAATTCGTCTTGGGGTGTTGCAGCAAAAGAGATTTGGGGGATGAAGATAGCAGACAGCTTCTTTAGACCACAGCCGTACCTTCTCTCTTCTAGATGCGTCACCTTCTTTGAGCATAAATCAGGGTCTGACCTAGAACATGTCTTGAGGATATGGAAGAGTACCCCAAAAGGTCTATCCATGGTCTTGAAATAGGCCCCCAGTTCTCCTAGGATCAGGCTTTTTTATTATCCCCATCATATACAATTTTCTAATGTAGGTAAAATTTATTAGTATAGTGGATCCTGCATTTCCATGGACTCTGTTTCTGGAGTTTCTGCCTTCTCCCTAGCCCTAACTTTCTACCTCATAGCTGCCAAGAGGATGGGCAGGCGGGGAGTTGCAGAAGAAAGGATTCTGGAAGGAACACAGCTCAGGGAGTAACAGCACTTTGCTTTGGGTGCCAGGGCCCTGCGTGCTATGATCCCTGTCTAAGAAAGAGTGGCTGGTAATTGGCCAGTGAAGAAACAGGGTGTAGGACCCCCAGGACCAGGATCTCCCCACTTCAACCACAACCCCAGCACTCAGTTCTCCAGTTGATTGTTAATAGGACTGTGAGATGAATTTACTCTCGCAGCTTTAGTCATTCGCATGTGTGCATGTGTGTGCGTTTATGTGCGTATATGTGCGCATAGACGCAGACTTGTATACATACGTCGATGGTTTAAGAATTTTTATCTCTCGAGATTTTCTTTAAATTGAACTTTGAGTTTTGTCCATTTCATTCTTTGCTTTAGTTCAGAATTTTCTTATTAAACAACTATTTTAGGTATAACAAAGATTGTTTCAGATACTCTTATTTAAAGTTACCCTTTTAGGAGCACCTGGGTGGCTTAGTCGGTTGGGTGTCTGCCTTTGGCTCAGGGCATGATCCTGGAGTCCCGGGATCGAGCCCCATGTGGGGCTCCCTGCTCAGTGGGGAGTCTGCTTCTCCCTCTCCCTCCGTGCCCCCCCACCCCAGCTCTTGTTTTCTCTCTCTCTCTCACTGACTCTCTCTCTCTCTCTCAAATAAGTAAAATCTTTTTTAAAAAATAAAGTTACCTTTTAGCAAAGAAGATAGGCAGTGCCCTCGTATTGTCCCTCCCACATTCTCTCCCTGATACTAAATTCTCCAGTCCATAATAGTCTGCCTTTCATCCTTTCATTCTGGCTTTAGCATCAAATGCATTATTTCAATATGTTCTCATCCTGCTCTGTTCTACTAGTTTTAAAAATAATTGCCTTATAAAGATACGCCAGATTACGAGTTCGGGGAGAGAGTACAGTGACAGTATAGTGTGGTATGGACTTGAGCCAGGCTGCTTGGGTGCAGAGCCATGCCATGCTATGTATTCTATCACTGTTCTCTTGTCTGTGAAGTCGTGGTAAAAACTAATATGACCATATATAACTTATCATCCCAACCAAGACGCTTTCGAGAGTCAAAGGGGCAGTTAATTTGAGAGAAGCTGAGACAAGCTTAAACCAGGACCACACCAGGCAAACTGGGATGGGACTCCCCAGCCCCCCTCCTACCGTAATAAGATGTCTAACTTTGAAGGTTGCAGAAGTATAGAACAATGTTTGTTTAAGATTTTATTTATTGGAAAGAGAGAGAGAGCACAGAGGAGAGGGAGAAGCAGCCTCCCCGCTGAGCAGGGAGCCCTACATGGGGCTGGATCCCAGGACCCTGAGATCATGACCCGAGCCAAAGGCACTTAACCCACGGAGCCACCCAGGTGCCCCGAAGTATAGACCAATTTCATGTAAAGTGCTCAGTGGACGAAGGAAGTGATTAATGGAAGTGTAGTTAATAGCAAAAGCAAACAAGTATTTTTTTAATTAAAAAAAAATTTTTTTTGAGACCAAGAGAAACTGTGAGTGGGGGGAGGGACAGAGGGAGTGGGGGTTAGAGAGAGAGAGAATATCTCAAGCAGGCTCCATACCCCAGCGCGGAGCCAGACACGGGACTCTATCTCAGGACCGTGAGATCATGACCTGAGCCAAAATCAAGAGTCAGATGCTTAACCCACTGAGCCACCCAGATGCCCCTTAATGTAGTGTTTCTCCGAATGTAGGACAGATGCCACTGGTGATAAATGATACACAGACACATAAATAAGCCATTAGGATTCCAGTGTCTGTAGAACACATGCTAAGACATCAGTATTTGTGACCTATATCTGAAATTTATTATGATGTATGTAGTGTTTAGTATTCATTCTTCCATTCAATAAAGATTGGGTGCCTTTTATGCTAAATACTCTTCTGGGTACTTAGAATGTATGTGAATAGGAAAGACCAAGATGGCATGTTTCTTAATATTATGGCACAGGTTTTATGAAATGAATTTTATATCGGTTACATCATCGTTCTCAAATCATGTTCTGTTCTGATCTAAATACTTTCCATGATAAAGCTGGGTTTGATTGGTTGGTTTTTTTTTTTTTAAGATAATATAAAAACAGCTACCACTGCAGTAGCTCCCTTATAACACAAAAGCACTGGAATCGAGTGTGCTTCTGCACCTCCTAGAACAGGAAAGATAAAGAGGGGAAGAGGGACAGTGGCTTGGAACCATGTCAAGGCTTAGTTTTACAATTTGTATAAGGTTTTCTGTTTATAATAAGAGTTTCTGGATTTTTTAACATAGAGTCTGATGGGGAGGAGTTTCTCCGGATATCATTAAATGCCAACTCTAGCCTCACAGCTCAGAGAAGTAGAAAGGGAAACTAGCCAGGAATGTAGCTTCCCATATGCCAGTGTATATTTTTGGTAATTTTTTCAAATGTTTCCTTTTTTTGTTTTGTTTTTAATTAGCACATATGTATTATTTGTTTCAGGGGTACAGTCCTTTTTGAAAAATGAGATGGACTTGTATTTGGGTCAGCACAGAAATGATGTGGCTAGATCATCCAGGGAGTCTGTTATCTTAAAGCATTTTTAAAAAGAAGTCTACAGTATTATCCCTCCCTCCCTCTCCCCCTTCCCCTCGGAAAAGCAGCTCGTGCTAGAAATTATGAATCAGTCTTGACGGAAATGCCTTCTCAGAGGAGAGTTTCTCTGCCTGGTTTAAGGTAGACAGGGCTTGGGGCGCCTGGGTGGCTCAGTCGTTAAGCGTCTGCCTTTGGCTCAGGTCGTGATCCCAGGGTCCTGGGATCGAGCCCCGCATCGGGCTCCCTGCTCGGCGGGAAGCCTGCTTCTCCCTCTCCCACTCCCCCTGCTTGTGTTCCCTCTCTCGCTGTGTCTCTCTCAAATAAATAAAATCTTAAAAAAAAAAAAAGGTAGACAGGGCTTCACGTGGGCAAAAAATTTCGAGACCTAACAGGTTTGTTGTCTCTCACCTTCCCGTCAGCCTCCTGGGTAGGCCAGAGTCACGTGTGGCAGGATGTCCTTTCTTGATTTCTTCACGTGTTTGAAGGATCGAATATCCATCAGTTCTGCTTTTTAATGGACTGAACGAAGAATTTGTCAGTTTATATTAACATTTTAAGTTTTGTTTCTAGTGATGTAGTAGGAAGCATTACTGCAGCCAGCGAGCAGAAGGGGCTGTTTGGTTTTGATGAGGGCAGAGGAAATTCTCCAACCCTGCTGATTCTGAGGTCTTTCTCTGGTCTGGTAAATCTAGTCCAAGAAGTTTAGAAGGGAATCATCAGATCCAGTCAGCAAGTTTTCAGTAAGGAAAAGATCCAGAAATACAGAGTAGTTGGCCCAAAGTCACACAACTATTTTTTAACAAACCTGACACTAAGTCCACTCTTTGTACCCTCTAGGTTATTTCTTTCTCTGCTTCTTTGAAATCCTAATGCAGCCTGTCACAAAATTACAGAACTGTATCCAAAAATGAACCATCGGAATGATTCCACTTTCTAAATAATAACTTGGTGCATATGTGCTGGACACGAGGGCCACATTGCAACTAAAATGTTAACAGGACATTAACTCAAATAGAATAACTACCTAGCCTAGCTTTGTAATAGTTTCTATTTTTAGTAAAGAGAAACCATGTTTGACAGTCTTTTGTAGTTATACATTAGCTTGTTCATGCATCTCCTGTTTTGTCTTAAAGTCTTGAAAATGATACTTGGGTAAAATTGCCTGGCTGTCAGTCTGTCGCCAGTACCAAATGCAACTTTTCTTCAGTCAAGCTCAATGTTTATGAAGAAATTAAATTGCGGATAAGAGCGGAGAAGGACAGCCACACTTCTCCATGGCATTATGTTGACTCATTCACCCTATTTGGAAAAGGTAAGAAGAAGTTGCCAACCAAATTACAGGATATTCTTCATGAACTATTGCGATCACAGCTCACTTCCCAAGCCCATTCACGTGCATGGTGTAAAATCTCCCGTCTAAAGAAAAAGCGGGGGCGGGGTGGTGGGCCTGGGTGGCTCAGTTGGTTACGTGACTCCCTTTGGCTCAGGTCATGATCTCTGATCTCATGATCTCTGGGATCAAGTCCCACATTGGGCTCCTTGCTCAGCAGGGAGCCTGCTTCTCCCTCTCCCTCTACCTGCTACTCCATCTGCTTGTGCTCTCTTTCTCTCTGTCATGTAAATAAATAAAAATTCTTTAAAAAAATAAAAAATAAAGCCCAACTCTTTTCAGAATAATTCTAAGACTTATGTGCCCCTTCCTTCTCATTCTGTCTTGAGTATACACTGGAGTTTTTCGGAGGCTGATGGGGAGAGGGAGACCAACTGACTGACTGACTTGGCAGAAGCGAGCAGGAGATGCGTCTGTCTTCTTTGTTTAAGCCGGACGTTAACAAAATTGGGATAAGATGTGACACAGCTCCACTCTTCTAGCTACGTCTGTTTTGGGAAATGTAGTTCTTTTTTTTAGAACAAATATTTGTTACAGCGCAATGGGTTTACCACTATTATCTGTTCATGAGTCAACACTTGAAAATGTTACCAGTTTTAATGTTTAGTATGCTAAATGTTGAAAGACGTGATCCCTATAAACAAAAGCTCTTTCAGACCCTCGGTTTCTTTGAGTGTGAAGGGCTCCTGAGACCAGAACAGTTGGGAACCCCGGCCCTCTGTCAGAACTCGCGAGAAGAATGATCTCTGTCCCTCTCTGCACTTCTCTGCCTGCCACTCTCTGTCGCCCTGTGCCGTCGAGCTCCGTTCCTCCTCGCTGCACAGAAACCACTCTTGTCAAGGACTCTGGTGACCTCCTCGATGCCCAGCGAGTTCCCAGCTCTGTTCTGGCTCAGTTCCTGGGTAGCACCAGGGTTACCACTTGAAACCCTTCCACTTTGGATCTCCAGGACCCTGCTTCTCCTGCGCTCTCCTCCTGCGCCCCTTTCTCCTGGCCCTCCAGACCCGTCAGTGCCGGACTGCTGCGGGGCTGGGCTGTCGGACCTCTTCTTTTTCTACACTCGGTCCACTGGGAATCTTAATGGCTTTCAATCCTGTCTGTGTGCTCTTGAGAAAAGCCCAGACTTACATCTCCAGCCCCACTCCTTCCCCTTACTTTATACTGTATCACCAACTCTCTTTCAACAGGCATCTCTGCGTGTGTGTGTGTCTAAGTCATCTGGTCAACCGAAGCTCTTGATTTCCCCCTCAAAACCGGCTCCTCTTGCAGTTTTTTCCATCCCTGCTACAGACAGCACCTGTTTTATTTGCTCAAGCCAAGAGCCTTGGAGTCCTCTTTGGCATCGGTTTTCCTCATGCCCTGCATCCAGTCTGTCAATACTTTCTGAATGGTCCATCTTCAGGGTATATCCCAAAGCGGATCCCTTGTCGCGTCCATCCCTGCGACCAACAAGGCTGGTCTCTTGAGCTACTGCGGTAGCTTCTTCCTGGCCTGCCTGCTTCCACATGCCTGAACTAAGGTGATCTTTCCAAAACGTAAATCACAGCATGGCACTCCTCGGATCTCAGCCCTCCAGCAAAGTCCCAAAGCTAACTACAGAGCTCTTCCTTTGTTATCTGGCTTCTAGCTGCTTCTCAGAGCTACCGGAGCCTCCTTATTGTCTCTTGAAAATGTGAAGTGCATTCCCACATTGCCGGAATACTCTTTCCCTAGATAATTTGCCTGACTGACTCCCTCACATTATTCAGGCCTCAGCTCAAATGTCGCAGGGAGGCTTTTCCTGACTGACTTATCTGAAACAGGTCTTGCCACCATCCTCTCTCCCTCTGTGTTATTTCATTTTTCCTCACAGCACACATGACATTATATGTATTTGTCTATTTGGGGTTTATGGCCATATCCCCCGCTAAAGTATAAGCGCCGTGAAGGACTTTCTCTGTGTTACTATGCCAAGCATATAGGAAGTGCTCAGAATTATTTGCTGAATGAATGTTTCGACCCTGTATTAATGAAGTTCTATAGTAAATGTGTTCATTTTTTACAGCTCAAATTGGTCCCCCAAAAGTACATTTAGAAGCTGAAGATAAGGCAATAATAATAAACATCTCCCCACCTGGAACAAAAGATCATGGCATGTGGGCTCTGGATAGCTCAAGCTTCACCTACAGCTTGGATATCTGGAAAAACTCTTCAAGTGGAGAAGTAAGCATTCTTCTTACGTTTGTTCAAAGTGAGAGAGAAAGGACATGAATTTGTCCTAAAGTTTAACCTTATACTTTTTTAAAGAGCAGACTTCTGTTTTTCTTTTATTATAGAGAAGGACTAAAACTGTTTACCCCAGAGATAAAATTTATAAACTCTCACCCGAGACCACTTACTGCTTAAAAGTTAAAGCAAGACTTTTGCCGAGAAAAACTGGTGTCTATAGTCCCGTGTATTGTATAAAGACCACAGGTAAGGAGAAAGTTATGCTTTAGATTTAGTAACTTGATATACAGATGGGCAATCTATTAATTCTGGCAGTTTTCCTCTTGGTTGCTGAAGTTTATATGATATCTTAATAGATATTAAAACAAAAATATAATAGCATTTACATCAGCAAAAAAAAAAAAAAGTCACAGGAATTGGGATTTTTGTCTCAAGTAAGCAGTGATGAAAGTTCTGTCTAAAAGTCTAAATATTTTCTAATGACAAAAGCTACTTTTATTTGCTCAGAATCCACAAAAGGGGGAAAGCAGTTGCTAGAGGAACAGTTAGTCTTCCAAAATGTATACCTTTATAAAAAGTGTCAAGTGTTAAAATGTGGAAGCATCCTGATAAATTTTGTCAGCAGCCTCTCACCAACAATTAAGGTCAGAGGTTAGGAGCTTAGATTTGTTTGTTATTTTAATCATAAGTTTAATATGCTTTGTTTTTAAAATCAAACTTACAGGAGAATTTAAAGTAAAGTTTTTCTCTCCTGCCTGCTTATTCCCAGTCCCATTTACCAGCAGTTAGCCCTGCCGGTAGTTTGTGCGTACTTCCTGCTTCTGTCAGGGCTTCTTATAAGCATACACACAGACGTGTATATAGTTTCTTAGTTTTGGTATTTGAATTTAAACGATAGGATCCTGCCAGATCGATCTTACAACGTGCTTGTTTAACCTACTACATTGAGGATCTCTTTGTATGTTGGCCCATACAGATCCATCACGTTTTTTTTTTTTTAAGATTTTATTTGTTTGAGAGAGCGAGAACACGAGCAGGTCGGGGGGTGACAGGGGGAGAGGGAGAAGCAGACTCCCCGCTGAGTGGGAGCCCGATGTGGGGCTTGATCCCAGGACCCTGAGCCAAAGTCAGACGCTTAACAGACTGAGCCACCTGGGTGCCCCATCATGTTCTTTTAAATGGCTGCATACTATCGCATTGTGTGAACATACACCATTCGTAACTCACTTAGCTATTATCCCCTGATAACATGTAAGACTTTTTCTTTTCTTGCCCATGCCGTTAAGAAGAATTCTTAACCATGGGGGCGCCTGGGTGGCTCAGTCAGTTAAGCGTCTGCCTTCGGCTCAGGTCCTGATCTCAGGGTCCTGGGATCGAGCCCCGCTTCAGGCTCCCTGCTCTGCGGGAAGCCTGCGTCTCCCTCTCCCATTCCCCCTGCTTGTGTTCCCTCTCTCGCTGTCTGTCTCTCTGTCAAATAAATAAATAAAATCTTAAAAAAAAAAAAAAGAATTCTTAACCCTGTATCTCTCTCTCTTCAAATAAATAAATCTTTAGGAAAAAAGAGGGCAGGGGCGCCTGGGTGGCTCAGTCAGTAAAGCGTCTGCCTTTGGCCCAGGTCATGAACCCTGGGGGTCCTGGGATCGAGCCCCACATCGGACTCCCTGCTCAGGGGGGAGTCTGCTTCTCCTTCTCCCTCTGCCCCTCCACCCAACTTGTGCTCACTCTCTCTTGCTCTCTCTCAAATGATAAATAAGTAGTCTTTAAAAATAAATAAATAAAATTTTTAAAAAAAGAATTCTTACCATGTCTTATCTCACTAAAGTAGCAACGTATGCTTTTCTGTGTATTCTTTGTCTTCTAGTTGAAAATAAACTGCCTCCACCAGAAAATATTCAAGTTGATGCTAAAAATCACATCTATGTTCTTAAATGGGATTATACATATGAAAATGTGACTTTTCAAGCTCAGTGGCTCCAGTAAGTTCTATTCCATGAGTTTCCTTTTGCCCGGTTTATGATGGTTCCTTTCACTCCACTTCAGCCCCCTACAGCTCCAGGCACAGAGGCTGACTGCTTGAGGTGATTACCCCATATTGGAAATGGGATATTTAGTTCTGGCCCCTGCTCTGCTGTTAACTAACTGGATGACACTGAGCTAATCCCTTAATCTCTTTTGGCCTTGGTTTCTTCATCTGTCGTCATAGCGGCATATTTAATAATATCTCATGTACTTACTGGCTCTTTTTCTTTTTCTTTTTTTTCAAGTGTGCTTCTCATTGCATGTCTTGTTTCCTCAATCTGGACTACTTGACACATGACCCTGACCTTTTCTTCAGAACTCACTTTTTCCATGAGCCCTCAGAATGATCTCAATCCAGTCTCTCTTACTCATTTCAAGTTAGCCTTCCCATTTTCTTGACAATGGTAGTGGTTTTGACAGATTTTTTAGTGATCACTTCGGTGGGAAATGAAGAAAGCCGGCGGGAACTGTGGGTAATGTCTCAGCCCCGCAGAAGTGGTTGAGAACTTCCTATAGTTCATGTTGGCTGGAAAGTTGTAGGTGATAAAGAGGCGAATCCAGTGGAAGGAGGAGCGGGTTGTGGGGAGGAAGGAGGTGCGTGAGAGAGCTATACTGAGGAATAGAGGACCAGAGGCAAGGAGAGCAAGGGCGGGACAGGAACAGTGGAGGAGGAAGAGAAGCGGGAAGTGAACGGAGGGCGAAGGGAACGGGCGCTGCGCTGGTGGACCGCCTCTGTCCTTCCGTGTTAGTCGCGCGGTAGAAGCACGTTCCCGTGCGGGCATGCCCGTAGACTCTGACTGACGCGGAACTTCACTCTCAGAAGTGTGCTAAGTACTAACGCCACAGACTAGAGAGGAATGGGGGTTTTCCGGTGGTGGTTCTCGAAGTTTTGTGGGTACTCAGCACACTGGACGAAGCGCCGAAGGGATGGGAAAGGCACAGCAATACAACACGTGGTTCCTAGACTCCAAAGCAGGTAGCTGAGGTGGCGTTGCGAGCTGTGGTTTGGGGCTGAGGAGTGCTCTACACATCGAAAATGTAAAGGTGGATGGGGCTGGAGAGACCGAAGAAGCCATGTGGAGGGAGATGAGATGTGAACAAGGCCTTCATTGGTGAATCATATATTTTAAAATTGGACATGAGAGGGCGTGTTAGGCAGAGCTACAGCACAAGGGAAGCTCAGGCTACAGAGATTGAAAATTAGGTGAAGGTTGGGGGTGGGGGTGTTACTGCTCTATAACAAATTACCACAAATTTAACAACAGCTTGAAGAGTGCTGTTACCTCCCGGTGACTTCTGGTCAGGGGACCAGGCTTGGCTTAGCTGGTCCCTCTGCTCATGGTGCCACAAGGACTCTGGGGGGCCATCTTGGAATTTTGCCTACCACATGGGAGAAGCCCTACCTTGAGAACAGTTGAACATTTGGGCACAGGAGAGCAATGAGAGAGAAAATTGAATACATAGGCTAGGTTAAGATCAGGCGTTTGGGTGCCATTTAGAATTTTGCATTGAGGGGTGGGTAACATGAGGTCTGTGTTCAAGGAGGGTGAAGATTGCCACATTGTATGTAGGCCACAGAGACACCAAAACGGGAGAACCAGTTAGGGAGGCTGTTGTAGTTCCAGGCTTGGACTGAGTTGCTTTGAGCTGTTGGTTACTGAGTAATTTACTTGACCTCTCCAGGCTCAGTCAAGTGTCCATATTCTGTGTAGACTTGCTCTTACCACACTGTGGCGTATTATCTGCATTTTAACACTTACCCATCGGTGTATGGGTCATATGTTTCACAGCTGGCTTTCCAGAAGGAAAAAAAAAGCCTTATTCGTAGCGCTTGCCAGTTTTCATGATATAAATACACCTACTATGGTCCCTTTCAACCTGATGTCACTGAACATGGCACTAGGGAGAAATGCACAGGAGGACCCCATTACAGAGTATTTCCACCACAGAGATACAATAGACATAGATAGCTTTGAGCATAGATAATAAAATGTAATAAAATAATTAGGACAAAATGAGTTTTGATCCAGCTTGTCACCTGTGCTTCTGACCTGCCAGCTATAAATTTAAAAAAAAAAAAAAAGTTTTGAGTATTTTTACTTTTAATGCTATTTATTTGTAAGTTTATGTAATTTAATCTATAGTAATGGCTTTTAATAACTGGCTCGCAGCATTCCAGAAAATTCCGCGGTGGTTCTTGTGTGCTGGCTCTGGTCAGCTCTGGTACAATAACACTTTGTCATACCCCAGAGCAAGGGCTCTGGTTCTCTTTGTGTTTTATGTGTGTCTCTTGCACTGTATTGCAAGCTTCCTGAGGGTGGGGACTTGTTTCCCTCTGTAACCTTAACCCCTAACCGTGTCTAGCATATTCTAAGTATTTCATAAATATTTATTGAATTACTATGTTTGTAATATTTTTTTTTTTTGTCTTAAAAGTGCCTATTTAAAAAAGATTCCTGGGGACAATTCAGGTAAATGGAAACAAATACCAAACTGTGAAAATGTCCAAACTACACAGTGTGTCTTTCCCAAAAATACTTTCCGAAAAGGAATTTACCTTATCCGTGTTCGAGCATCGGATGGAAATACCACATCTGTTTGGTCTAACGAAGAAAAATTTGATACTCAGTTACAAAGTAAGCCAGTAGTTTTTTCTTCAGGTTGTGCTTCTCCGATTTGGTACAGAGTCTTAATATTGTTTTTCCAAGTTGAACATTGTGCCTGTACATTTTTTTCCTAGTTACCCCGTTTCCTCCAGTCATTACCATGAAATCCACTAACGATGTTTCCCTGCGGGTCTATATCAGCGCTCCAGAAGAGTCTGAAAACAAGCCTGTGAACCATCATTACCCACTAATTTATGAAATTATATTTTGGGAAAATACTTCAAATGCTGAGGTAAAAACAAAAACAACAACTATGTGATGTTAATCTATAATGTAGGATTGTAACTAGGATTTTGGGGAAACAAAGTTGAAGTTAAAATTTTAGGGAAATTTTTAGGCATTAAGACTGTGATGACAACATGAATATTAGCATCTCTCCCTGTCTTACGGCGTCGTTACGGATCACCTGCATCTGGGCATGCCGGTGTGTTCTTAACATTCGGATCCCTGTGCCTCTTACTACTCAAATCAGAATCTCTTGGATGGAACTCGGGAATTTGTGCTTTTAACATGATTCCTGGGTATTTATCTAAACCAGAGTTTCTCGACACTGGGGACATTCAGACTGGATAATTCTCCGCTGTGGGAGCTGTCTTGTGCATTATAGGATGCTTAGCAGCCTCTCTGGCCTCTGCCTGCTGGTGGCCAGTGGCACTGCCTCCCAGTAGTGACGACCAAAAAACCTCCAGACTTTGCCAGCTATGCCCTGGGGGCAGGGTACCTCCAAGGGGGCAAAATCTCAGATGGTCCAGTGGTTTGTGGCACTCCGAGAGGAAAGCATGCCTCCAGAGTTAAGCTTTGCCACACAAAATCCTGTTCCTTACTATTCAATTTCATGGCAGAGGAAGGATTTGAAAACAGTCCTCTGAAAAGGCTCCTTGGCAGGGGAGTCATGAAAAAGAGTCAAGAAACACAGGTTTAAACACTAAAATTAGGAAACCACGGACAAAGGCAGTACACAACATGGGATAATGCACAGGATTCTAGATCTCTTTTCCCTGTGGAATTACAATCAAGGAATCAACCTTGAAAAATCTTGTGTAGTTGGGTGGATAAATTCTGTAACTTGACTTTATTTTCTGTTGGAAATCTAAAAAAATTATAATGACTTGCCTACTTTCCTTGTAACGATCTGAACACCCTGTAACCAAAGCATAATTCAGCCCACTGAGAATTACAGTCAGTTCTCGGTTGTTCTTACATCAGGAAAAACCTGTATTTGTGTCTCAAACCATCAAATTGTGTTACCTTAGGCAGGGTGCTTTACCTCTCTGAGGTTTTTTTTCCTCTTCTCTAAAGTGGTGGTAGTCATAGTAACTACATTTTTTTTTAAATGAGGTAACATAAGAGGAGCCCCTGGCTGCCTCAGTCGGTAGAACGTGCAGCTCTGGATCTCAGGGCTGTGGGTTTGGGCCCCACCACATTGCCTGTAGAGATTATTTAAAAATTAAAAAAAAAAAAGTCTTAAAATGTGGTAACATATGAAAACACTTAGCACATCGCTTGACAGACAGTAGAGATTAGTATCAGTTGCCACCCTATCCTGTCAGTGATTACAATCATAATAGCAACTCATATTTATTGAAAGCTTATTATGCATCAGGTGCTGTGGAAATTTACATGAATTGTCTCAGTCATTCTTCAAAACAGTCCTGCCAGACTGACTGCCTGATTAAATCATTTGGCAGACACTTGGGATGGAGTATCTCTTATCGCTTCCCTGATGCCGGGCTTCAAACAGTAGAATGTGGGTGGTTGTGATGTGAGGACAGTTTGGCTTGGCTCTTGGGCTTCTCTCGTTTGCCAAGAGGAAAGCATGCTGCACTTGGTTTCTGGTCCAAGGAGGATGAGGGACCTGGGGAGGACCCAAGGCCTCAGTACGGGCTCCACAGCCAGTCAGGACACGCGTGAGTGAGAAAAATAAATGGGTTTTGAGCCAGAGGATGTTTTGTTATATTATGTGACATTGCATGACGTTATTTTGTTGTCATTATTTTGTGACTTGTTATACGATACTATTGTGGCAATAGCTGACTACTGCAGGGAGGAGTGGTAATTGTCCTCATTTTACGGATGTGGAAATAGGGCCGAGAGAAAAGAAACAACTTGCCTAAGGCCACATAGCTATAAGCGATGCCCTAATACAGGCAATTTAAGGCCAGAGCCCCCACTCCTAAATATTCTGCCACCGAGCAGAGGAAATAACAATGGCAGTTAAACCAAATCAACAGGTACTTATAAATTAGAGTTGTCTTAGGAATATGTCATAATTCCTTTTTGGAAGCAGCATTTTTAAGTTTGACTTGGGTCGTAATGTGTTGTCCAAAACAAATATGTATTTCTTAAACATACACCAACTACGTGGTTGGGAGAGGCCAGTCTTAGACTGAATATTTAGAGAATTTAGGAAATCAACATTCCCTATCTGATTTCATAAGGTGACTAAATTTTATCAATGATCTACTTATTTTCTTACAGAGAAAAATTCAAGAGAATAGAACAGATTTTACTTTTCCTAAATTGAAACCACTGACTGTGTATTGTGTCAAAGCCAGAGCGCTCATTCAGGAAGGAAAGTGGAATAAAAGCAGTGTTTTTAGTGATATTGTGTGCGAGAAAACAAAACCAGGTCAGAATCTTCCATTATATCTCTTTTTTTTTTTTTTAATGTTTTATTTATTTATTCATGAGAGTCAGAGAGAGAGAGAGAGGCAGAGGCAGAGGGAGAAGCAGGCTCCCTGCCTAGCAGGGAGCCCGATGTGGGACTCGATCCCAGGACCCTGGGATCATGACCTGAGCCGAAGGCAGACGCTCAACCATCTGAGCCACCCAGGTGCCCTCTTTTTTTTTTTTAATGTAACTGAACTTTCAAAAAATAATTCAGATTCACTGGAAATTGTAAAATATTTCCCTCTTACTACAAAAGCATAAGGAGAATACTTTCTTCATGAGCTACATGAATCAAAAGTAGACCTTCAGGCTAAGTCCTTCGGTTTTAGAAAATATTTTTACTGTGCAGTTCAGTGTTTTTGAATGCTTTATATTTCATTCAATACGCACATAATTAAATTGCCTTCAATAATTACTCTCTTAACATTTAATAAGACTATTTTAGGTGGTTTTGGGTTTTTTCTTTACGTAATTCTTAATATAATTATCATGTGGGGATCACTTCATTAGTTCAATTGTGAATTTTGTTCTGTGGGAATGGTTAAGTCCCATTGTGTATTTTACAGTTTGCAGTGTTGACTTGCAGATGCTGATTAGTCACGGAATGGTTTTAGTTATGCAAGCTCTGTATCAAGAAGTGCTAGAGAACACTTTGCACTGTTGGGAGCTAAATGTCAACATTGCATCCTTCACCTTGCTGGGCCACTCTTTTTTTTTTTTTTTTTTAATAATTTTTTATTGTTATGTTAACCACCATACATTACATCATTAGTTTTTGCGGGCCACTCTTTAAATGGAAATGCATTGCCTAAAAAGAGGGGGTGGGAGGCATGCCTGGCTGGCTCAGTCAGTAAAGCATGTGACTCTTGATCTCGGAGTCATGAGTTCCAGCCCCACATTGGGCATGGAGCCTACTTATAAATAGAGAGATAGAGGGAATGCATTGCCTACAGCTCTTGTATGCCCCATGTTACCAGAAATATTTCTAAGGGTATATCATTTCATAGATTTTTATATTTCCTTTCACATAGCTATATTCCATCCACCTAAACTGTCAGCCTTGTGAACATATTTGGGTGTCAAGATCTATGTTGAGGCTTAACATCACTTACTTATTTTTAGGAAATACTTCCAAAACCTGGCTCATAGCTGGAGTTTGTGCTGCATTGTTTTCCATCCCGGTTGTCATCTATGTCATGAAACTTCTCTTTAGATGTATCAGTTATGTGTTCTTTCCATCAAGTAAACCTCCTTCCACTATAGATGAGGTATGTGACTTTTCTTTGTCAATGGGTGGATTTTTCTTAAAACGAATGGGAACTATATTTGATGTCCACAGAATATATGCATTTTCTTGATATCCAGAAAATATACACACTGGGATATTTTCTTCACTTTCAGCAAATTGGCTTTAGAAACAGTCATTTAATATCATATGACGTGGAATAGTTAAGGTTTGTCCTTAATCTCATATTTTTCTTCAGTTTGGCTACCTTGGCATTTGTTTTATCATTGAAAAGCTGGGTATTCACCCAAAGCCTACAGCATCCTCATCAGTGCATCCTGTGGATGACATCACAGAAAATAAAATATGATTCTCCCTTCAGGACACCTCACAGGCTCCTGTTTGGCCCCCCCTGTGAGGTTGGCATATTTAATGAAAGCACTAAATGACAAAGACCTAAGCCCAGGACCTAACCTGGGGATGGTGTGTCCACCTAGGGCGGGGGTTCAGGTTGCCTGCCTTGGGAATATCGCTTGGAGCTCCGGCTTTGGAGCTGTAGCGACACCCAAACATGAATTGTTGATCAGCTACAGTATGTTTGCATATGTTAACTCTGTGAAGTTAAGCAGGTCACTTAAGAGAACTTGAGCAGGGGCGCCTGGGTGGCTCAGTTGTTAAGCGTCTGCCTTCGGCTCAGGTCATGATCCCGGGGTCCTGGGATCGAGCCCTGCATCGGGTTCCCTGCTCAGTGGGGAGCCTGCTTCTCCCTCTCCCACTCCCCCTGCTTGTGTTCCCTCTCTCTCTGTGTCTCTCTCTGTCAAATAAATAAATAAATAAAATCTTTAAAAAAAAATCTTCTTTAAAAAAGAGAGAGAGAGAACTTGAGCAAATGCCATTATGCTATAAAGTTTCAAAAGAAACTCTCCACAGTCCCAGCGCACACCCCTTTCTTTCACTCTTGCACGCTCACCAGCCCCCTGTGCCCCATCCTGGGTCCTCTTCATGTACCTGCCCCAAGACAGTGCCAAGAGGCACGGGACCTCACTAGTGAGGGGCTTATTCTAAATGTTAGATGGCAGTTGATAGGCTTCTAGCTGGTTTTTAATATGTTTATTAATATAAACCATTACCACTGGTTTTCTCGGTAGTGGATGTAAGACACTGAAGCCGTTGGAACTAAAACTCTCATTATTTTAAACAATCTGTTCCTATTCTTCCCCCTTTTTTTTAAATTAGTATTTCTCTGAGCAACCGCTCCGGAATCTCCTCCTTTTTACTTCCGAGGAACACACGGAAAGATGTTTTATAATTGAAAACAGAAACACTATCACGGCAGTAGAAGAAACTAACCAAACCGATGGAGAGCACAAAAAATATAATTCCCAAACCAGTCAAGATTCGGGAAACTATTCTAATGAAGATGAAAGCAGTGGAAGCAAATTCAGCGAAGAATCCCTGAACCAGGAAACCGAGTGACCAGAAGCGAGCTCTAGAATACTTGGGAGTCCTGTGGGAGCCACGCTCGAAGCCTGGGTTCTCACTTCGCCCCGTAACTATGCAGAGGATCAAGGAAAACGTCTTTGGGTCACCGGTCCGAAAATGCAGGCAAGTACTTCTCCGTGGGACAGAAGTTCTCTCTATTCTTTTCCGCGCGCAGACCCTTGAGAGACCTATCACTGGACCTGCCTGATGAAATGAGTGAAATCCAGAAAATGTTCTCTGTGTCTCTGGTGACATCTCAAGTATTGCTGTGCTAACGGCTTTGTGGCGAAGCACAGAGTCACTGTGTTCCCATTGGGTGACGCCGTCACCGAGAGCCTGTGGCTGTCCGTGTCGCTGACTCGTCCTCCATTCTCAGTGTTACAGTTCAGCATTTTTCAGGAGGTATTTAGATACTTTGGACACCAAAGTAGGCCCTCGGGAAATTTCTCGAGAAAAGCCAGATACCATTACCACTGGTTTTCTGTAAAATAGCTTACCCTAGAAAATGTCTGCAGGTGCCAGAAATGTGATCCTTACAATTTTCAGGGGAACCCTGTCCATGTGTCCCCAAAACCTTGGCTCCTACATCACAGTCACCTGTCCCTGCTGTGGTTTAGGATCCAAACCAGGTCATCTTTTCCTATACATTAATACTTCCTGACTCACAACCTAATTCCCAACCTAGTAGAACAGTAGCTACTGATTTGAATTTGCAATCAGTGAAGTGATAGAGAAAGGGACAACGGTCTAATCAGAGAAGTTATTATGATATTTTAAGATAAGGGAGTATGTAGAGGTTAGTCACAGTGTATGCAGAAAGCCTTGGGACCAGAAAATGCTCCTGATAGAACAGACAGAGTAAGAAGTAGAATCATTCAGTAGGAGGAAAGCAGGTGACTTTCGTGAAAAATAAGAGTAATGCGTCTAATCAGCTTTTAATTATTAACATGCTGTGGGGTTGTTCATCTGTGTCTTGGTTTTTGTTGGTTTTTTTCCTTTCTTAGTTTTATTGAGATATAACTGGCATGTAACTTATCCGTGTCATGTTTTGAACCAGGCCAGCTTCTCTGTCCCATGTGGGATATGCAGGTGTCCCTTCTCCTCCGCTTACACACAACTCAAGAAAGTGAACGTTTACTATCAACGTAAGGAAGAAAGTGTAACTGGGGGGAAAACCTCATTTTAAGAATTACATCATGTTTTTCAAAAGCCACCTGGAGTGCATTCCTAAATTAGTCATAGAGACCCTTCGTAGGAAGGAAGTCTAGGAATTTTGGTGGCCTCCCAAGGGAAGGGAGATGCAGCAACACAGTGCACTGGGATGTACGTAACCTAAGGCCAGTATTAGTGCTGTCATCGTCCCTGCTGACGCCCCAGGTTCATCTGTGGGGAAGAAAAGGTGGAAGGCAGCCGCTCTGAGGCAGCTCCTCCTCGGCATAACCACAGCTCCACGGAGCACACCGTGCACTTTCCTGGACCCGCAGCCCCAGCTTCCAGCAGAGGGTAGCGGGGATCAGGGAGGCCCCTGGGAGACACAGGTCTCTGCTGTTATCCCTAAAGTGACCCAAACACACTCCCCTTTTGATCTTTCTGACCGGAGACATCTAGTTTCAGGCAGATCTTCTGGGTCGGCCCTCTATTTGTAGAGGCCCCGTCTCTGGAAATTGGCTTCTTTACAGAGGAGATTGGAACTGTGTTAGGACCCTGCACCAGCCCCGGCTCGCGACCCACGCTGACGCGGCGGTCCTATCCAGCGCCAAGGCCCAGGGAGAAAGCGGCTTTACACGGGATGTACCTCTGTGGGGCGTGGAGGAGGGGGGACTTACACATTACATTCGGAAGACACCAGTGGAATGGTTAGGTCCCTAGCATGTGGGAGTTTGATGTCCTCAGGTTTGAAGACCCTCTGTGATTTTCAGTGAACAAGCGTCTCAACAGCAGTGAACAAAAACCCCTCATTTTTGCCTTGTCTTCTAGACATGAAAATGCAGTTCCTTTCCATTCTTCATGATGGTCTACATGTAGCATAATCAGGAAGTGCTTCCTTGTAAGGTATGATAGGTGTTCTTTCTGAAGAATAGTTTACTTGGAAACATGCTGTACTTGGGAACACCAGGAGACTGCCTCAGGAATACAATGTTGATAGTTCTTGGCGAGGCTGAACATAATCAATTACATTTGTATCACTACAGCCAGAAATCTCTAGTATAGGTGAATATACATGTAAATAATGACACGGGTGTGTAAACACATGTGTGTTTATATCTACCCTTGCCCTCACATATGATGTGGGTCATTCCATTAGGATAGCCATAAAGTACTTACTTACTAGTATAGATTCTAATTCAAAAATTAGAAACACTGCTCAGAGCTATGAACTTTAGAATCTGACCAGAAATTTACAACCTATAAAGTTATTTTTTAAATATAATTTAGGGTTTGTATCTTTTCCCCCAACCTGCGACCTTTAAAAGGCAGCCCCAGATTGCTCTTAAGAATTCTGTGTACAGAAACCTTCCTTCCTTCCACTCCTTCCTGTGACTACTTGATATGTTATGTATTTGTTTTTTGTCTGGTATATGTCTGCCCCCACGAGACTGGAAGCTCTCTGAGCACAAGGACCTTCTTTTATTCATGGCCGTATCCCCAGCATCTACAGCAGTGCAGGGCCTCGCTCATGGAGGTGGCATGGAAAATAATTATCGAATGTGTGAAATCCACAATCTGAACCAAATGGGTGGTTCTGACCGTGTTTGTATGTTGGTTGAGTTGCAGAAGGACATAACCAATGTGTTCAGTGTTTCTTTGAAGTCAACTTCTATTTGTGTTTTTGTCTTAAACCCTATTGCTATGAACAATTTTATATAATAAACACTGGGGCCAGAAGTCTTTGATTTTGTTGTTGTCGTGCTTAGACTTGATAAACTTTCATGTACAAAGTCACTACAACCGATGCTTTTACAGGATACTCACAGCAGAGCAGGCCAATGCCCGGGCCAAACATTGCGACGTCCAGCGATGAGTATTCGGAAGGCGCCACCACCGCCGTCCTGTCCTACAGCTCCTGGACAAGGAGCTCATTCGCTTGCTCTTTGCCTTTTCACAACCTCAACTTAAAACTTGGATGGAGCACAGCCTTGATAAAACAGTGTTGCAAACTCTGCTTTCCTGAACTAAACTGCCTGCCTTTTGCAAATCTCTCGTCTCAGAACAAACTCAGAAATCTCTAAGGACACTCCCCAATCCCACACGTAAATTGATCTCTCCTGCCATCTGGACACATTTATTTTTTTTTAAGATTTATTTATTTATGGGGCGCCTGGGTGGCTCAGTCGTTAAGCATCTGCCTTTGGCTCAGGTCATGATCCCAGGGTCCTGGGATCGAGCCCTGCATCGGGCTCCCT